CCCTAGAAGCAGGCAGGTACACTCTGCCTCCTCCAAAAGCTAAGAACTTGGCAGCTACCACCACTTTCTCTAAACCAGAATAAATGTAGGTGTCGCTGATTTTAGCTTTGTATTTGGTTGTGACTTCAAGCTTATGTAAAAGCTGCAAGAATAAGAATATTGGGCATGTGTTGGACTCTAGCGTCCAAACACCGAGGAGGAGTCACCTCCAGAGACCACCTCACACACCACAGCCGATGCAAAAGCATGAGGATTTTATTAATTCTGTCATGACAGGGTCCCCCAGCATTCTGGAAGCTGAGAGACCTCGAATAGCTGGCACAGACTACTTTTAAAGGAGAAGGCCACAGAAGCAAGGGGGGTTGTGATTGGCTTATTCAAAGAGGCTATTATCAATAATTGGCTGGAGAGCTGTTGCCAGATCAGATGAGGTAAGAGGTCATTTTGACCCCGTTTCCCAGGGGACCAAATCAAAACGTACGTATATGGGTAATTGTTCAGGAACTGAGTACGTGCATGTGTAGCTGTTAGGTCCTTGGTTCCCAGGGGAGGAGGGGAAGCACTATGGCACGGAGGCTGAGAGGATTCAGAATTGTCAGAAATGGCTTCAGACCTGTCTTAAAGTCTTACACATGTAGGTACATATGCCCACAGACGTGCACATCTTGGAACTTCCACCCGGCTTCAGCTGGTCTCCTCATTTACTTTATTATCTTTTTCTTACTTGCCCGGCTTCAGCTGGTCTCCTCATTTACTTTATTATCTTTTTCTTACTTGCCCGGCTTCAGCTAGTCTCCTCATTTACTTTATTATCTTTTTCTTACTTGCCCGGCTTCAGCTGGTCTCCTCATTTACTTTATTATCTTTTTCTTACCTGCACACGCTCTCCTTCCCTCTTTCCCGTTTCTTATCTTTCCTTCTTTCTCCATTTGTTTTTCTGTGCTTTGGATTAACCTATGGCTTCACAAATGCTACTCAAGTGCTCCACAATGGAGACACTCCCCACACCTTTCTCTTCCCGTGGGGCTAGAGAGTTGGCCTACCATATACAAGCCCCCGGGTTTGATTCCTAGCACTGCAACACACACACACACACGCACACGCGCTTTCTGAACCATTTGAAAGTCAACAGCATACACTATAACCATGTCTCTTCAGATGCCACAGCCTGTATTTCTCGATGACGGAACTTAACATTGAACAAACTCATCTAGTCCAGGAACCAGTTCAACGGAATCTATCAGTGTGATCGTTCCTCTTAAAGTGTTTATTTGTCTTTAATAAAGGATTAAGTTGCCCTGCCTTCCTAACCTGGAAATGTCATCTACGGTATGTACTGTGAGTTATAATGAAAATTTAATTAAATATATTTAATATATATTAAATATATGGCTTCAAGCTTGTTTTCACAAACCTTAGGTTTGCAGATAAACCAGCCTAAGCTGTAGTTTTCCTCCTAGGCCCCCTTTGTCCACTCACAGTCCTGGGTGGAACACATGCTCTTGGGAGGCTTTGATTAGCCAGCTCTCTGGCCCATCCTTGTCCTCATACGCTCTTGACCTGAGCGGTCCTCTTTGCCCTGGGCTCAGTTGGGAGGCACCTCAGCCTCTTGTCTAAGATTCTGTGATGAACGGCTTATTTATAATTAGAGATGGTCTTGGAAATTAGAACCAGATCTGGTTCTCTCTCTCCCAATGAATTCATAACACAAACTCTAAGAGCAGGAGTTAACAAATAGTTAATGAGAAAGTACTGAAGTCACTGGGCATGGGCTTTCCCAACATATGCTCTCTTAAGATTTATTTAATATATTTTGTAGAAAAATAATGCAATTAGGGTAGATTTAGCCCATATCAAAGCTCTGGCTTTGTTTATCTAGAAAGGGGAGTGTTTGATTAAATTACTCTTCATCTGAACATAACACAGGATGGGGACATCCCATTAGGGGTATAAAGATGGACCACTGAGCCATTAACTGGGACCAAAGACTCACATGATGTCACAGGCCTAAGCAAGGAGAAAGTGTCTTCATTTGGAAATATTTTGCTATACCTGTCAGAGAGTCTGGTTAAAATGACTCGTTAGAGAATGCTTGTTTGGGGTCTAAAAATGGAAGTCACACAGTGAGCATGGTCCTTTTGGCTGACTCACGTGGCATGGGTTTCCCGCAGATGAGACTGGAGAAGGTTCACCACACTGCGGAAATTAAGGGGATTTGTTTTGTGTAGTGTATGTGAGTGTGTGTGAGTGTGTAGAGTGTGTGGGTGTGTGCCTATATGTGAGTGTATGGTCTGTGTATGTGCGTGAGTGTGAGGAGTGTGTATGTGTGCATATATGAGTGTGTCTGAGTGTGGTGTATGTGAGAGAGTGTGGTATACATGTGTTGGAGTGTGAGGGTATATGTGAGAGAAAGAGAGGGTGTGATTGTGGCTGATCTATCAAAGGTTTTTCTTAGTCTAGGCAAGGGCTCCCCCACTGAGTTACTGAGTACACCCCCAGTCCGAGTTACTTAAAAGCATTTTTTGGGAACAATGAAAAGAACTTAGCTCTTTAAAAAAGGAGTGAGTTTAAGTTAAAAATCTGATAGGGAAGGGCACACACGTTTAGTGTTTACTAATCAGAAATCTCCAGAAGCCAATTCCCCCTTTGTGGAAAAAAGACTTGTGTTTTAGAGGAGGTGTTAGGAAACTTGATCCATAAACGAATTGCCTCTTAGAAGCTGGATGTGGTGGTCCCTGTCCAATTCAGCACTCGGAAAGAAAGAGGCACCAGGATGAGCTCAAGGCTAGCCTCGTCTGTGGAAGACCCTGTCTCAGAAAACAAAACAAAATGAGGAAAAGACCACTTGAAAACTGAAGGCCAATCTTACCTTAGAAACCAGCTAATAGGGGTACAACCAAAGCTAGGAAGTTACTAATAAAGACATGGCAGGGTCACCCCGTCTAATCCATACCACCTCGTTCTGGAACCCCAGATGGCTTTGAGTCCATGGGAGGCCTGCGGACTAAGTGTGACCATCCCTGATGAACCCTAGGACTCCGTGCACTTGCCCTTAGCCACCGCACTGGAGGTGAGGTCAGGTCTAACTCCCACATCTAACGCCCACAACAGGCGGTTCATTTCCATTGGTGAGAGCCAGTGGCACTTCCTTTGGACACCCCCTTTCTCAGGGCCTGAAGGAAATAATGTTTCCTTTTGCATGAGGGTGTAGAAAGTAGTTGAGTGCCTAGAGAGAGGTCCTGGATTTTTCCTTCCTTCCTTCTGCAAGCGGTTTTCTACTTCTTAATTTCCCTGGAATCCAGAAAGACTGTTCCTCACTTCCTCCCACGGAGGCAGCCTCGGCAGTGAGCCATCCAGACACGTGTTCCAATTGCCGGGCGTTTTCTCTACTAAGAACAGCAGGGTTGCATATAGCACCCACATCGTATGTCATCGGCAACATGAGCAGCTTCCTCCAGTTTCCCAGAGCAGCCTAGACTACACCTGGTGCCAAGTCCCCACGAACCAAGGCACAGTGTCCTGCAGGTGGGAGGGATGAGGACGATTGCTGTGTTTATTTCACAAGAGCAGCAGGGTTGTGAGCATGTGCTGCTGTTTGAGACAGTATGGCCAAACCGGCAGGGTTGTGAGCATGTGCTGCTGTTCAAGACAGTATGGCCAAACCGGCATCACCAAGATTCTTTTTTGTTTGTTTGTTTGTTTTCCAAGACAGGGTTTCTCTGTGTGTTGCTTTGGACCCTGTCCTGGAACTAGCTCTTGTAGGCCAGGCTGGCCTCGAACTTACAGAGATCTGCCTGCCTCTGCCTCCCGAGTGCTGGGATTAAAGGCGTGCGCACCACCGCCTGGCTTCATCACTAAGCTTTGGATCTATGTTGCTTTCCTAAGAGTTTCAGAGTTAGCTCTGATATTGAAGTCTTAGATCCACTTTGAGTTCATATTTTACACATGGTATAAGGTCAGAGCCCAGTTTCATTCCACTGCGTGTAGATACCCAGTTTCCCAGCAGTGCTGGTAGAGAAGATTGTCTTTCTTGGTGTGGAATGGTCTTCGGTGGGCATTGTGTTATTTTACCTTGAGAAAAGGAAACTTGGTGAGTTAGAATTTACACCTCACCTTCTAGACTGCCATTTGCGTTTCAGTAATTTGTAAAATCTATTCATTTATAACATTTTTTCTCAAGGGACAATGAGAGTAGTAGGTTTATCTGGCATAAAGGTCCTCAAGGGGTCTGCCAGACTCAGGCATCCCTCCCACGCATGCCTGTGCTGGAGGTGAGTCCAGACTCGGGCGTGCCTCCCACGCGTGCCTGTGCTGGAGGTGAGTCCAGACTCGGGCGTGCTTCCCACGCATGCCTGTGCTGGCACAGGAGGTGAGTCCAGACACAGGCATGACTCCCACGCGTGCCTGTGCTGGAGGTGAGTCCAGACTCGGGTGTGCCTCTCACGCGTGCCCGTGCTGAAAATGTGTCCAGACTCGGGCGTGCCTCCCACGCGTGCCTGTGCTGGAAGTGTGTCCAGACTTGGGCATCCCTCCCACGCATGCCTGTGCTGGAGGTGAGTCCAGACTCGGGTGTGCCTCCCACGCATGCCTGTGCTGGAGGTGAGTCCAGACTCGGGCGTGCCTCTCACGCGTGCCTGTGCTGGAGGTGAGTCCAGACTCGGGTGTGCCTCCCACGCGTGCCTGTGCTGGAGGTTGAAGGACATTTAAGAGGTGGAGTCTGGAGAGGGGCTGCTATCTTTAGGGCCTGCCTGAGAAGGGATCAATCAACATAGTCTCCATGGAGAAGGGTTACTTTCTTCTTCTTTTTTTAAATATACATTATTTTATTACAATTTTTTTTAAAAAAAATAACAAGAGAAAATGCAACATCCTAAAAAAAATTTACTGGTAATACAAATTCCTATGTATGTTTGCTGTGCTACCATAAGAAATTAAAGAAACCATTAAATATTTAGGAACATTCAACATCAAAAGCTTTAAATCTAACTGTATGTTGTAGCCCCCCAAAAAGCTACAAATTCCTTTTTTAAAAAAGTATTTTCTCTACAAAGAATCTCATCAGCTATACAAAAATCTGTACAGTTTTTATACTGAAGCTAATGTTGAGCTGCACGTGAATTTCACATTCTTAGCAAAATAAGTTGCCTGAGCACATACACTCCACACATTTTAGGACAGCCATTTATTCTTCATCCTCATCTTCTTCCTCATCATCTTCATCTTCTTCTTCCTCCTCCTCCTCTTCCTCCTCTTCTGGTTCATTCTTCTTCTTTGAGCCTGTTGGCCTACCAGGACCCTTCTTTCCTACTTCGCTTTTGCCCTTGGCACGGTATGCAGCAATATCCTTTTCATATTTCTCCTTTAGTTTAGCCGCCTTCTGCTCATGGGGTTGTTCATCTTTGGCCGACTGTTCAGACCACATCTCACCCAATTTTTTTGCAGTATCTCCAATAGACAGGCCTGGGTGTTCACTTTTGATCTTTGGGCGATGTTCAGAGCAAAACAGGAAGAAAGCAGACGGTGGTCTTTTTGGAGCATTAGGATCCTTTTTCTTTCCTTTCTTATCACCTTTGGGAGGAACGTAATTCTTCATCTCCCTGTCATAGCGAGCTTTGTCGATCTTGGCCAAATCTTCGAACTTCGATTTTTCCTTTGCAGACATGGTCTTCCATCTCTCGGAGCACTTCTTGGAGAACTCGGCGAAGTTGACCGACGAGTTGGGGTGCTTCTTCTTGTGCTCCTCGCGGCACGTCTGCACAAAGAAGGCATACGAGGACATCTTGCCCAGCGGCTTTTTGGGGTCTCCCTTGCCCATCGCTACCTGGCGCGAGCGCGTCCCTCCGAGGCCAGACACGGACACTTCCTTCCCCAAACTCCGGTGAGAACTGGCTCCTCGAGAAGGGTTACTTTCAGAGAATTTGCCTAGCTCCTTGGCAGCCTCTTTGGCATCTCTCATACCCACATCATCTCTCTGCCACCTGGACTTCCATTATTGTGATACCACCCACCATGAGGACCTCACCGTAGCCAAGCTCAGCCTCCAGAAGTGGGAGCTCAACAAACCTCCTTTTAAATAACACTGCCCAGCCTCAGCTGTTCTCTTTTTCTTCTTAGTTCAGTATTCTACAGTTGGAGGTCTTCCCTCGTGAGGCACACACATTCCAGTGTAAATAGGAGGAATAAGAAGCATTAGTTCCACCGGTGGTGGTGGTGCAAGCTTTTAATCCCAGCACTTGGGAGGCAGAGGCAGAGGCAGGTGGATCTCTGTGAGTTCAAGGCCAGCCTGGTCTACAGAGTGAGTTCCAGGGACAACCAGGGCTACTATACAGAGAACCCTTGTCTTGGAAAACCAACCTAGCAAAGCAAAGCAAACAAAGCCTTATAGTACACACTTGCAGAAGCAGATGCATTCCTGGAACTCACTGGCCAGCCAGTCTGCATCTCTAGCTGGGTTCAAACTTGTTCCGTATGCAACAGTGGCCTTGAACTTCTGGGCCCCCTGCTCCCACCTTCCAGGCATGGAAGCCACCAGACTGGCTGCTCAGGTTGGAACCCAGGACCCCGTGTGCTAGGTAAGTGCCCTGGACTGCTTTGCACCCCACTTTCTTTTTATTTCTCAGAAAGGCTCTCACCATTGCTGCCCAGGCTGATTCATCTGGACTCTGTGCCTTGGCCTCTGCCTCTGTCCTGCCCCTTTTGTCTTTACCTTTATTGAGTTCTGGGGAGAAGTGAAAAGATGGGAAAAACTTCTGCTTTAGGGACAAGTCCATATTCCATGGAGGGCGGGCCAGGGTATGGGGCCACCCTGGCCATCCTGAGGCAGCAAGTCCCTCTGACAGACCCGGGAGAGAGGACCAAGGCCCAAGAAGGGGAAGCAGGGGAGTCTAAAGATAGACTGTACACAGCTGTACCAGGGAGAGGCCCTAGGATAAGTGGAATATCCCGAGAGGTGCTGGGGCCCGCCCTTTCGTGGCTATTTTTAAGCTGCTCAGGCATCAGTACGTGCTTGTCTATGCTATGAAACACTGGTGTATGTATCATCTAAACAGGAAACACGAAAGACCAAAGTGCCAAAAACCTCTAAGTTTTTTCCTCCTGTAACTCTCGCATCTACCTCTAACACATGTGTGCACATGATTTTATGATCTAATTGAATAATTAATCGCAGAGCAAAAAAAAAAAGGTGAGGAGTTGACACAGGCTTTTCTGTGTGGCCTATACTCGGGGCTCACCTTGCAGTCCAGGCTGATTCACAACTTACAGATAGATCTTCCTGTGAAGCCTGCCCAGTTCTGTCACTACAGGGGCCCGGTAAATAGCATATCTTTGCTTCTTTGTTTACTTGAGATAGTGTCTCTCAAAGCCTTGGTTCTTCTGGAATTCATTGTGTAGACCAGGCTAGCCTAGAATTCACAGAGATCCACCTGCCTCTGCCTCCTACGTGCTGGGATTAAAGGCGTGGGCCACCACGCCCAGCTAAACAGCAGATTTAAATTGTAGATGAGTTACCGATATTGCCTGGCTAGTTTAGCCCCGAAATAATTGCACAGAAACTGTATTAATTAAAACACTGCTTGGCCCATTTGCTCTAGCCTCTGATTGGCTAACTCTCACATCTTGATTTAATCCATTTCTATTAATCTGTATATCGCCACCTGGCAGTGGCTTATTGGGAGAGATTCGGTATGTCTGTCTCTGGCGGCTCCATGGCGTTCCTCCCTGACTCTGCTTTCTTCCTCCCAGAATTCAGTTCTGTCTACTCCGCCTACCTAAATTCTGCCCTATTAAGCCAAGGCAGGTTTTTTTATTCATTAACCAATGAAAGCAACACATTGACAGAAGGACCTCCCCCACCAAAGGTCAGCCATACTGGTGATCTCCGAGTGTGATGGAGAGACCCTACCTCACTGACTAAGGTGGAAGGGTGATTGAGGAAGTTTCTTGATCTCAGCCCCGAAACCTCCATAGTCACAGTTTATGAATACACACACATATCTGAGTCCCATCCACAGAACCCATGTAAAAGCTGCAACGTGGTGGTGACACAAACCTTGAGGTAGGTGGATCTTTGTGAGTTCAAGACCCGCCTGGTCTACAAAGTGAGTTCCAGGGAGAGCCAGGGCTGCTATACAGAGAAACCCTGCCTTAAAAAACCAACCAAACAAACAAAACCAAACAAAGCCTTGCAGTATACACTTGCAACCCCAGTGCTGCGGGAGGCAGAAGCAGATGCATTCCCGGAACTCACTGGCTAGCCAGCCTGGCCTAAGCAGTGGGTTTCAGGCCACACAGAGGAGATCCAGTCTCACAAAGCAAGGAAGATGGCTCCACCACGCCTGAAGCTGACCTTTGACCTTCACACACATGCACACATGTGTGCTCATGGCCACACACAGACCTGCATATACCCGCAACAAACAAATGGAATAATGGTGGAAGACTTTCATTTATGACTCACGATTTGCAGTGTAAGCTATGCTACCAAAACAGATTCATGAAGCAAACTTCTATGGTTCAGATAGGTAGGGCCCCATCTTAAAAAACTATGGTAGATGTCAGGTGTGGTGGCACACACCTTTAATCCCAGAACTTGCAAGGCAGAGGCAAGTGGATCTCTGTGAGTTCAAGACCATCCCTAGTCTGTGTAGTGAGTTCCAAGATACTCAAGGCTATAAAGTGAGATCCTGTCTCAAAATAAATAAATAAATAAATAAATAAGATACAAATAAGATAAAAAAGTCTAGATTCTCTTTGAAGAAAGAAATCGAAGAAGATATCAGAAAATGGAAATATCTCCCATGTTCTTGGATAGGTAGGATTAACACTGTAAAAATGTCACTCTTATTAAAAGCAATCTACAGATTCAATGCAATCCCCCTCTAAATCCCAACACTATTCTTCACAGACCCCAAAAGAACAATTCTCAACTTTATACAGAAAAACAAATCCTGTACAATAAAGGAACTTCTGGAGGTATCACCATCCCTGACTTCAAACTCTACTATAGAGCTACAGTAATGAAAAAAACTTCATACAGAAAAACAATCTTGTACAATAAAGGAACTTCTAGAGGCATCACCATCCCTGACTTGAAACTCTACTATAGAGCTACAGTAATGAAAACAGCTTGGTATTGGCATAAAAATAGATAAGTGGACAAATGGAAATGAATCAAAGACCCTGATATTAATCTACACACCTATGACCAAGAAGTTAAAATTATACAATGAAGAAAAGAAAGCATCTTCAACAAATGTTGCTGGATAACTGACAGTTGACATGTAGAAGAATGCAAACAGACCCATATCTATTGTCATGCACAAAACTCAAGTTGAAATGGATCAAAGGCCTCCATGTAAAACCAACCACACTGACCCTGATAGAAGAGGAAGTGGGAAGTATGGTTGACTGCATTGGCACAGGAAACCATAGTGATATTTTATTTATATTTTGTAAATAAAGCTTGCCTGAAGACCAAAAGGTAAAACTATGCCGTAGAGGCCAGGCAGTGGTGTCATACACCTTTAATCCCAGCACTTGGGAGTCACATGGCTTTCGTCCCATAACTAGAGAGGAATATAAGGCAGGATGAGACAGAAACTCCCTCTCTTTTGGTCTGAGGATTTCTTGGAGGTAAGAACTCTCTAGTAGCTTGGCTGCTTTGCTTTTCTGATCTTCAAGTTGAACCCTAATATCTGTCTCTGGGTTTTTTTTTTTTTTTTGTTTTGGTTTGTTCGAGACAGGGTTTCTCTGTGGTTTTGGTTCCTGTCCTGGAACTAGCTCTGTAGACCAGGCTGGTCTCGAACTCACAGAGATCTGCCTGCCTCTGCCTCCCGAGTGCTGGGATTAAAGGCGTGTGCCACCATCGCCCGGCCTTGGGTTTTTATTACTCATGCTACAGAAGACCACTTCCTAAAGAAAACACAAGTAGCACAGACACTGAGAGCAACAATTAATAAATGGGACTCTTTGAAGCTAAGAAGTTTGTGTAATGCAACGGACATGATCAACAAGACAAAATGGCTTCTTACAGAATGCAAAAAGATCTTCACCAACCCCACATCTGACAGTGGTCTGATCTCCAAAATATATAAAGAATTCAAGAAACTAGACACCAAAATACCAAATAATCCAATTAAAAAATAGGATATTGATCTAAACAGAGAATTATCAGCCGAAGAGACTCAAATGGTTAAAAGAAATTTAAGGAATTGCTGCTCAACATTCTTAGCCATCAGGGAAATGCAAATCAAACAATGCTGAGATTCCATCTTATACCTGTCAGAATGGCTAGGAACAAAAACACCAATGATAGCTTATGCTGGAAAGGATGTGGAGTAAGGGGAACACTCCTCCATTGCTGGTGGGAGTGCAAACTTGTATAGCTGTTTTGGAAATCAGTATGGCAGTTTCTCAGAAAATTGGGAATCAATCTACCTCAAGACCTAGCAATACCACTCTTGGACATATGCCCAAAGGATGCTCAATCCTGCCACAGGACATGTGCTCAACTATGTTCATAGCGGCATTATTCATAATAGCCAGAACCTGAAAACAACCTAGATGTCAACCAAAGCATGGATATAGAAAATGTAGTATGCCTGGTGGTGGTGGCATATACCTTTAATCCCAGCACTCAGGAGGCAAAGGCAAGTGGATGTCTGTGAGTTTGGGGCCAGCTCTACAGACTGAGTTCCAGGATAACTCCAAAGCCCTGTCTCAAATAAACAAACAAGAAAGAAAGGAAGAAAGGAAGGAAGGAAGGAAGGGAGGAAGGAAGGAAGGGCGAAAGGAAGAAAGAAAGAAAGAAAGGAA